GTTGAATTTTTGCCTGATGTGTCTTACCAGGGGGTGGAATAGGTCAACGTTCAACTTGTGAATCGCTATCTCCTTTGGGATACCTGGCATGTCTACATGGGAAAAGGCAAATAGGTCTACGTTCCTTTTTAATAATTAACGAAATTTACCTGGCTCTCGGAGCTTGTAGCCGATGAAAGCTTTCTTGTTGTGATCGTTATTATCGAGTTGGACGAGGTCGAGATCCTCCACGGTTGAAACTATGGCTTATACAATTTTGGGGTCTCTGATAACGTCTTTCCCTTCATCACCATCTGACCTGACTTCGTTAGTTGCTATGCCTCCTCACTTTTTTCTTTCAATTTTCGGGTGTATGTGCAGTCTTGGGCGATGCGGTAGAATTCTCACGTAGTGCATTACTCTACTCGGATGCTGAATACTCCTTAGGGGTAGGAAATTTGATGACTTGATACAAACTGGAGGGGAAAACTTTCATGGCGTGTATCCAGGGTTGGCCTATGATGGCGTTATATGCCGTATCCTCATCCATGATATGGAATATGGTCTTTAAAGTGACTCCGCTGGCCAGGACGGGCAGTGTAATTTCTCCGGATGTCCGCTCAACTGCGTTATTAAAACCTATCAATGTGATGCAGCGTGGCACTATCCTATCCTCGAGCTTTATTTGTGTGAGAACTCGAGGGTGGACAATGCACGTGCCACTTCCATCATCAATCATAATGCATTTTACATCAGTATCTACGATGTGGAAAGTAATGACAAGAGCATCATAGTGAGGGAAAACCAAATCGTGGGTATCTGATTTATCGAATATGATACTTTCTTCGAATTCGTCATACCGCTCATGAGTGATTAACCGTTTGAGTTTATGGGTGGTAGTGAACTTTGCACTATTGATTGATGCGTTGTCACCCCTCCGATGATTATTTGAATGGTACGAGCTGGGGAAGGTGTTTTGGCGGTCCCGGGTGTTGTTCGCGTCCTCGGGCGAAGTTGGCTCTCCCCCGATCGCTCATTAACTCTTTTAAGTGCCCTTAGTGAAGTATGTTCACGACCTCCTGTCTTATGGCGATACAGTCCTCGATTTTGTGACCCCTCTCTTGGTGGAATTAGTAGAGGGCATTTGACTTTCTGGTGCTCGGTCGGATCTCATCTTCTGCGGACATTTCACTTTTGGGTCTAGCTTCTCCAGTGCATAGACTATTTATGAGAGGGAAACATAGAAATTGTGAGCATATAGTAAAGGGGGCATACCTCTCTCACTTCGGTGGGTTCCCATTCGTGGCCTGGATTGGCCTTCGTCGTGGCATGGAGGCGGCATGAGGGCGCTCTGACGTAAGGCTGATGTCTTTCCCAATTAGGTTGGGATCCTACTAGGTCCCTTCTATTGTCACTTCTTCGGTCCTTCCTGAACTCCCTTTGGACCGAGGTCAACCGTTGAGTAGGTCCATTGAGGTCGTCCTCATCAGCTCTTACCCCGGCACAGTAGGTGTTGTGTATCTCGTCACAAGTGGTTGGAGGGTATTTCATGAGTCGGCTTAGTAATTTCTAGTCGCCCTCGAACCACTTCAATTTAGCCCATTTTGGAACGCGGCTACCGCCATCCCCTATGATATGTTTGGGAGATTCATTCTTATACGATTAAATCGGTCAAGGAAGTCCCTGAGTCTTTCGTCAGGCGATTGCTTAATGGCAAATATATCGTTCACCCTCGCCTCTGCTTTCTTAGCCCTGGAATGGGCGTTAACAAACTTGTCTGCCGTCTCCTCGAATGTTTCTATGGAATGCGTAGGTAACCATGAGTACCAAGTCAGTGCTCCTCCGATTAGGGTCCCTCCGAACTTTTTCAGTAATGGATGACACTTGTTCTTTGTCAAGGTCATTGCCTTTCACTGTAGTGACATAACGGGTCATATAATCCTCAGGGTCAGTCGTGTTGTCATATATTTTTAAGTACGGAGGCATTTTGAAGGTTTTGGGTATGGCATATGGTGCTTCCTCGTCAATGTACAGTTGTTCCACGAACCGGTCGACGTCCCATTTTGGCAGAAGTTTTGGGGCACCTGGTATTTTGTCTACCCTTTCTTGGTGATCTTTCATTTGGTTGCAGAGCAGTTTGTTCTTGTTCTCCATCTTCCTCAAAATGGTTGTGAGGGTGTCGTTACCTGCATCGCTAGCATTGTGAGTAATACCTGTTACAGGGGAGTGTGCTGCTCGTCAGCTGCTGATGCAATGCAGACCCTTGCCTCTTCTCTATTCGTCCTTTGAGTGGGCGTGTCGAGGAAGTTGGTCAACGTGTTTGTCAACCATGCCTCAAGCAGTTTTTTTACTACCGATGGTGCTTCTTTTGTTGTGGACGTAGAGGCCCCTTTACCGTGTGAGGTTGTGATGCTGCCGTGAGGAGGGGGCGAGCTATTTCGCTTGGGAGAAGTATCTGGTGTTATGCCTTCGCCCTCCGTTTTATTGATTTCGTTGATGGTATGTAGGAGGTTGGTGGTGAGGTCGGCTATTGGTTTCCTCTTTTCCTCTCCGTTGCCTGCCATGTTAGATTTGTGTACACAAATGTAGGGTTTTTGCGTATTTTTTTTAGATCTAGAAGAAACTAAAATTTTAACTAGAAATCCCCACAGACGACGCCAAATTGTTTGACCAAAATGTATGAGACTTTATATAGTAATTCAACCTTTTATTAAACTAATTAAATAAGAAGATAAAGGGTAAATCCTAGTTAAACATAATAACTTCTAGATCTGAAGTGTGTTTATACGAATAATATGGGAGTGCGTTAAAACCGATTTAAAATAATGTATAATAAATGATACTGCTATTAATGAGTGGGGAATAATAATAAGCGATAAATATGTTAATGGCAATGAATGTAAATAGAGAGAATGATTCATCCAATATTGAATAAGGTGGATGATTCTTCTCTCTCACAATGATGTAAGACAAGAATGTGAGAGAATATAATAGGCTTTCTCGGATCTGATGCGAGAAATATGGAATAAACACCAAATCGAATCTTTTTGGAAAGATAATATTTGTATTTTTCTTGGGAGTCAACTTTTCAAGAGAGTTCTTATCATATAGAATATTACATGGCCCTTTTCTTCTCTCTACCTTTCTATTTATATGGGACATACCCCTTATCTAACCTAAAGTACAGAGGCAGAGAATATTCGATAGAATATTCCCCTAAAATATCTATTACTGGCCTGAGTATTTGACCTCGGCCCCGATTAATCAGTTCGCCAGTAGGTTATTTCAATCTTGTGTATGACCTCGACCCTGATGAGCCACTCAACACTTCGTTCCGTTCGCCACTGACCGACCTCGACCGAACTGCCTATAATAAGCTACAATTCTCACGATAATTACCTTTCTCGTGTTAAATCTCCTTGGTCGAATTTTGATCCATACAATAACAAATTTAGAACCTAAAAATTTTAAATCTCGAATTCGCCTTTAATTTTTATGATATTCTCTCTCACACCTCACTGAATTTGAAATTTTTACTATTGATTAAACCTTTTACGTCGGCCCCTCGTTTATTTGGACATTTTGCAATAATGTTAATAGGGGTGGCGAAATGGTTAAAAGAAAACAGTTAACCACCCATATTATCTAGTAAAAAATAGGTTGGATAATGAATTTTTTAAAAACGGGTCAAATATGGATAAGAACCATATTATCCATTTAAAAGATGGATAACCCATGAGTAACCAATGGATAACCAAATGGTCTAACCTTTACATTTGTAAAGTTTCAAATTGGGGGTTCCTCAAGTTAGGGAGACTAAGAATTCTTCTAAAAGTGATCATATACAAGAAGTCATGGATAATATGGGCCAGTTAACCCATTTTTTGTCCGTATTAAATATAAGTCGGACGGATAATTGATCCATGTTTTCATTATTCGACCCGAACCATATTAGACTAATCCGCCTGTTTGCCGCTCCTAAATGTTATGCAGTAGTTATGGACAAGTTTTATATTGATCTGACACATAACAGTGGTGGAAAAGCATAAAGCTAGTTGGACGTATTACGAGTTATGGACACATGTTTGGAGGCTGTTTCAAGGGGTTTATTCAAGTGTTTCGATCAATCAATCAACTATCCTTTTGTTTCTGAACTAGAGATTACATAGAAACTTTATACTATTCATTCCGCTTCATTAATTTATCATCCTACCACTTAAAATATAATGTAAGTAATTGATAAACTTAACAAAATCACTTCTTAATTCTTTGAACAGTAATGAAAATTAAAAACAAATAAAGGAGGGACAAATAAAAAAAAAGGGTTCGCTAGCTCCTCCTTAGTATCATCATGTGGGGCACCTTTTGGGTGTGGGATGCTCGTTTAACCTTTATATTCATTTTGTTTCTTATTTACCTGGGTGAATTACTTTTTCAAAAGCTTTCGGTGAAAGGGAATCAGAAAGGGTCGCAAGAACCGGGCGGGCGGGCCTATCAGCCATGAAATATGCATAAGCGGGAATAAGCTAAAAGGACTCGGCCTTCTTCGTTTTCGATGGAAAAAAAATCTCGTTCTCCCAAAGCATTTTCTTTCCCCTGCCGCAGGATTTGGCATTCAATCGGAGTTGCCTTAGTTGATTTCCGAAGGGAAGGCACGTTGATTGAAATAGAAAACTCCAAAACAATTAAGCTCGGATAACTTTTCTGGGATCCTTTTCCTTACGAGCTATAAACATGAGAATATATTTTTGAAATAGCTCTTTGATTGAAAGAAGATGATCCCAATAATACATTACTGTAGTCGAGTCCAATGGAGTTTCAAAATGAAGATATTTTTATTTTATTCAAAACTCAAAATTTTAACAACTTTTTAAATACTATTAATGTAGTTTAACTCATGACAGTTGGTCAGTTACAATTTTTACTAGATTATCAATTCATGTTAATCAAAAGATATACAAGTAATTTATTTATAAATGACCTAATTGTGTAAATAAATAGAGTATCACGTATACCCTTCGTACTGTGGAAAAAAGATGTGAAACTCTTATTATTCAAATGCAGAGAGATCAAATCTCATCTCATCTCATCTTTTTATCAAAGTGAGAAGACAAGTTGCTAGTGATAATAAACAAATAAAAACACAAAGCCATAATACAATAACCTCATCATTCACCAATAACAAACTGCACTATATCTCATTGATGATAATAATCTTCACTTCATTCAGTCTTCTCCACTGGAACTTCTGTGGTAGCTTCAGCAGCAGGAGCTGCTGCAGTTTCTTCTTTCTTTTCTTCAACAACAGCTTCAGCAACAGGTTCCTTTTTTTCTTCTATTACTGGTGCAGCAGCAGTCTCATTAGCAGCAACTTCTGGTGCAGCTGGTGCTTCAGTACTCACTTCTGACTCTTCTTTGGGTGCATCTTGAGTGGTTTCAACTGCAGCTGCAGGAGTTGGCTCTACTACTGCTGCTGCTCCAACCTTTAAAAACCATTAAAAAAATATTAACATCAGTAACACAAGAAACTGAGTTTAAGTTCTGTGCATCGTCTGTGTAAATAATAATTACACAATCAGCTAGTTACTTATTACATGTAGTTATAGTCAAAGTTAAGTACTTTGACCCTCTCCGAATTATGCTAATCTTCTTGAAACGAAAGGAGTAATTTAGATTGATGATCAAGTAAAGGATCGCTTATTTACAACAACAACCACCACCAGTATAATCCTACAAATGGGATCTGAGAATGGACTGCTTATTTAAAGTTCAAATAATTACCTAAAAGATCAAATTAAGGAGTGGCTACTTTTTAATTTTATAGATAGATAAAACCGAATTAAATAAACATTTAGTAAAGTAAGTTCTGTGCATCAGTGACACAAGAAATTGAGTTTAAGTTTCATGCATCGTCCGTGTAAATAATAATTACACAATCAGCTGGTTACTTGTTTCAAGTAACTGCAGTAAATCCCTTGATACATTAATTGATAATATAATAAAAATGGTAATTAATTAACATGATATTAAAGAATAATATTCACTGATAGTGTAAAAATTTATATTGTCAGTAGATATAACTTGAATACTAATAAGAAAATATTGATTGAAACTCAGCTAGTTAAGATTGGTCTTGATGATCAAGTTAAGGATCACCTATAAAGAGTTCAAAGAATACCTAAAAGATCAAATTAACGAGTGATGCTTTTTAATTTTATAGAAAAGCCAAATTAAATAAACGTTTAGCATAGTAAGTACAGTAAGAATAATATTTTTCTCTCTTTATTTTACCAAAATTTGAACAATCTGATCATCAGTTAGACGAAAGCTGATTAATTCAGCTACTAGCTAGTACTGATTTTAGAGTTTATTCTTGAGATAAGTACAGTATATATGAAACAATTTTGAAAACACCTTTATATGTGTATTTAATTAACAGACACCAGTGGAGCTAGCTAACCAGCTGATCTTGATCAGATGGCTAGATTTTAATCTGGAAAATAGAGAGAAAAAAATGTGTGCATACAATATAAAACTACCTGATCAAGACTTGCCATTGGAAAATGAGGAATAAATAAACTTATAATAGGAAGATGGGGATTAAAGCAAAAATAATGAAAATTAATGTTTTGGTTGTGAGATTGGTGATGAGAATGATCAGAGGAGAGAGCTATTTATAGAGAGAGTAAGATGAACTTAGTAAATAATATAATGGAAAATTGAGAAATAGAGGTACACTTTATCAAATAGAAAAAGAGAAGAGAATCTTGAAAGCTACACAAAATGACATCTCATGTCACTTACATTAAATTAAAGGGTCAAGAAAATTAGGATGTCTTAGTTGCAAATGTGTTTACGTCTCTATAAATACCTAAAATTAAATAATTCAACCATCCTTATTGTTGTGTATCAATCTGGATTGTGGTGGAGTGATATATAAATACTCTTTAATGCTCAATAAAAGAGTCGCCTGTATATAGAATCATCTTTGTTAGGGAACACTTTACTTCCCAATGTAGGATTTTTCGATGTGCGTGGAGCAGCCCGGTGCACAAAGCTTCCGCTATGCGCAGGGCCCGGGGAAAGGCCGGACCACAAGGTCTATTGTACGTAACCTTACCCTGCATTTCTATGAGAGACTGTTTCCACGGCTTGAACCCATAACAACAACTTTACCAATTACGCCAAGACTCTCTGAATTTTTCGATGCCAATTCTAATTTTATCGATTCTCAATAAAAGATACCGACATCATGTGGAAACGAAAAAGGACTGTTTTTCTTTTCTTTTTTCCTTTTAAGATGAGGGTCTTCGTTTTTTGTAGACAATATTACATATTTAAATAGTCCCATTCTCATTCTTTATGTCATTGTTTCAACGAAACTCAAGTTGTGTTAATCTGATTTGTGTATTCTAGTAGCAGTGGGAAAAATATATTAACATAATATTTGAAATTTTATTTTGAGAAATATAGCATTCTGTATACCGAAAATTAAACCATATAAGCAGCAAAAGGAATTAAGTTAAAAATTTGATTATTAAATGAATTTGAAGTATTGAAAACTATGAAAATTACATAAAATATTATTTATAGAGCGGTGGTAAATAATTATGATGTCATAAAATACAAACTCTACAATATTACACCGACTAAGCATTAATTAATTTATCTAAGCCATTTGCTTTTGACATCTGTTATATCTTTTTCTTTTTTCATCGAATTGTTTATTCGGAATCATAGGACACGGAGGTGAAACCGTGAAAGGGACTATATCATGCCTTCATGTTCCTTTAATTTCTTTAATTTACTTTTTTCCCGAACTTTTTCCTTTAATTTCTTTCTTTTGTTGAGGTTTCTCACAACAAAAAAGCAAATATCGAATACTTAAAGGAAATGAATCAAACTCGAGTACAAGCCTGAATTCTTTAGAAAATGACTTCTATAAATACTTTGTGACTTGCAAATTATTGGCCGAAAGAAATGCAATAATGGGGGAAAAAATAAAGTTATTTTGTCAATTTAATTCCGCAACGCACTTTAAAAATAAAGTTTATTTGTTTGACAACGATTTTGTTTTAATTGAAGTAGTTATATTGATAATAATAATAATAATGATAATAATAATTATTATAATAATAATAATATAAAATTAGTTATCGATAAACTAAATAAAAACTTTTATGCTACATATATAGTTATCGCCAAATTATATAATTAATTTTTATTTAATTATAATATAATACGCCTTTCGTTGCAATTTATGTGAACTCATTTGATTGGGCGCAAAAAAAAAAGACTTTTGAACTTGTGATGTAAAATAAGATACATATATATTGTATAAAGGTAATACATGGGCTGAATTTAGAGCTCTCATCAGAGGCCTACAACTAGCAGAACTAAACAACTTAGTTCCGCTATAAGTAGACACTGATTCAGCAGAAGTAATCAATATGTTGTTGAATGGAAAATCTAATATTTGACCCCCTAATTTGTGAATGCAGATTGCTGATTCAAAGGATGGGCAGTATGGTAGTGAGACACTCATACAGGGAGCAAAACATGGTAGCTGATGCACTGGCGAAGGAAGCAGCCAAGGATTTTTTTTTGAACAAATCAATATCTCTAACAGTTCCTCCGGTGTTTGCCAATGATGTATTTTGGGCAAACACCCTAGGAACTTAACTACCTAGAACTTTTGTAGGTTGTAATATAAGTACAATTATGCAAAACTTTGTATCTATGGGGGACTTAAGGTACCATAGCAACTCCCAAGGCAGTGTAACCCCTTCTGTTTAACTAATTAATATATTATCCCGTTAACAAAAAAAATACTTTGGGAACTCGTTGTCGCCCAATTTATCAATTCAAAACTTTTGATAGTTAAAATGTTCATTTGTTTTAGGTAAAATTTTATTCGCACCTACACTAACTAAATAAAAACTTTTATGCTACATATATAGTTATCGCCAAATTATATAATTAATTTTTATTTAATTATAATATAATATGTCTTTCGTTTCAATTTATGTGAACTCATTTGATTGGACACGAAATTTTAAAAAAAAAGACTTTTGAACTTGTGATGTAAAATAAGATACATATATTTTGTGTGGCTATAAATTATAGTATAAAGATAAATTATTTTCAGAAAAAGAAATAAATTTTTTTTGTACGAATTAAAAAAAATAGGTTCACCTAAATTGAAATGCAGAGTATATATATTTTGAGGTAAATTGGGTGCATATAAATTTAGGTTTGAAGGAGTACAAATTTTACACGAGACGTGCGGCGCTAGGCCGGCGCGCCTAATGGGGCCCTTCATCACAAAAATACGAAGATTTAGCGTACTAAAGGGCCCCACTGAAGAAACAACAACACCTGACGTGGGACCTATTTTGACTTAACAGGGGCCCATGAGAGCCGACATTTCTAAAGATGTTTAAAGGTGATAGGTCCTTATCTAACGGTTCAGATGCTTTCCAGGTTATTATTCCATGTGTCCTTTTAGGTCCCACTTGCATGAGTTGGATTTGGGGGATTCCACTTTAACAAAATTTTATTTGAATTTAAATTCTGTGCATAGACGGTGAGTAAATTTTTTTACTATCTTGCAAAATTGACTAAGGCCTCATTTGTTGGTTTAAAATTAAGACAATCTGAATTTGAATACACATCTAAATATAAAGATATGCATTAAGATTAAGATATTTAAATTTAAATACACATTTTAATATATTAAGATGTGAATTAAGATCTGAATACTAAATAATTAAGATTGTTTGATTTTTAACATCTGAATATATAAAATTTATCTTTATTTTAAAATTAATAAATATAAAATTCAAATGAAATACTAACTAATCTAATAGTCTATCAATAAAATATATAGTTTTTTTAAAATATAATAGTTGTTGGTGGTGATGGCTAACGGGTGAATGCCGACTAGAGGCGGTGGTTGGTGATAGTTTTGGTTGATGATGGTGGTTCATGCTAGTAGCTAGTAGTGATTGGTAGTGGTAGCGATTATGATTGAGGATGGTGGTGGTGAGTGGTGATAGTTAATAATGGCGGGCGGTGATAGTAGTTATGATTAAGGAAGGTGGTGGGTGGGTGGTGGTAGATTATAATGATGGGTAGTACCGGCGGTGGTTATTAATGGTGATGGGGTAGTTAGTTGTGGTAGTTGAGGTGGATGAGTGTTGATTGTGGGTGAGAATGATGGTGGTCGAAGTGGTGGGGATGGTGGGTGGTGTTGGTCGATAATAGTGGCGGCTATGATTGATAATAGGCGGTGGCGGCAGTTAATAATGAATATGTAATAGCATCTTAATGAAATTAAGTTTCTGTTATAGATCTTAATCATACAGACCTATTCAGACCCATTAAGTGGTTGTAAATTAAAAAAACAAACATACTTAATGATTAAGATCTGAATAACTAAGATTCAGACTTTAAAAACAAACGCACTTAATATTTGAGATCTGAATGATTAAGATTCAGACCTCAATTAAGTGCAAACAAATGAGGCCTAACAATACTCTTTCCGGTCTACTTTAATTGATTTTTAATTATTTTCACACATATTAAGAAATTTACTATTTAGTATTAATTAACAATGAAATTAACCATATTAATCTTAATTTGTTCATTAAAAATACAACAAATACTTCTAAGTTCTTTACTCCAAGGGAAAGAAGTTAATTCGTCGTTGATATTAGGAAATATCAAATATTGTGGATTACAGAGAAAATAATCAAAAAATCAATTAAAGTGGATCGCAAGAAGTAATAGTACTTTCTTGTTGGAAAATATTGGATGATTATGGAGAATAAAAGGTTTAGCTTTAGGTGTATCCTCCAGGATTCAACAAGCTCTTCTAATATAACTAGGAGCAGAAACAACAAAGTTTTACGAGAAGAAAACCTAGCACAAAAAAAAGGGAAGAAAAGATTTTTAGCTTTTTTCACTCTACTACATGAACACAAGTTGATAGGTTTATATATAAACCAAAGACATAAATCTGAACGTTGAGAATCATTAAGAATTCAATGCCATGAATTCAATAAGAAAACTGATGTCTCAGAATTTGAAAATGTAAGGCAAAGAATTAAATGCCATGAATTCAATAAGAAAACTGATACCTAAGAATTTGAAAACGTATCACTGTGAATGGGGCAAAGAATTAAAGAAATTAGGAAACTGTTATAATTACTCTTTTCAAAAGTTGAAGGAAATCACTATCACACTTAATATTAGCAAACAGGCAAACCTTTTGGTCAATTTCAAGATTACAAAAAATGTACTAACTGATTTCAATACCCATTCAATGTTCATAAGCATTGAGATATTAAAATATTCATTCTTTTGAGATATTAAAAATATTATTTTTTTAGAAATCCCCCACATAGCTCAAAAGAATATCATAATGAAATAAAAAAAATTCTGGGTTTTCACAAATGAGCATAACGCGTAGCATCTGGTGTCTCTTGGATTATGAACCAGACCTAGATAAAATAAGACTAAAGTTACAGAACAATTGGTGAAGTTAAAAACTTCTATGAACCAAGAATTCTTTTGTAAGTTTAGTGTCTTATATATCACATTATACCCACACACTTTGTCGTTTATCGCGGTTTTGCACTAATAGGCCATGCGCGTGCCTGAT